GAAGGGGGGGGTTTTTTTTTTTTTTTTTTTTTTTTTTTAATCGCGGCTCTCTCTCTCTCTTTGCCAATGTGTTCCGTCCGCTTTGCACGGAAGTTGCGGAAGAGATGAGTGTTTTTTTTCTGTTTTTCTTTTTCGGCAGAGAAACGAACGAGGGAAAGAAAAAGGGGGGAAACACGTCGTTCAAGTCGACATTCTATTCTACATGTATGTGGACTGCAATGTGTGCCACGTACGTACGTTCTCGGGTTTGTCTAGCATTCCGGAAATGCGTCGAAACCATTGCCAGCTTCCAGATACATATATAGATCGTTGTGCAGTGCAGCGAGGCGCTTTGTGCGCTGCGCATTTGTTGCTCCAGGGTATGAGCGAGGCCGTTAAGAAGTTAGCAGTGATTTCTCTTTTCACACGAGAAATTTGCCGACGGATCTGCCGGTAATCTGCGTCAGGTACATCTACTAAACTCTGTGTGTGAATATGCCCTGGGCGCGCGTCGAACAGAATTTTCGGCCGACCGTTCGTGACGTCTCCCGCGAATGGAAAGTACGTAATGCCATCCTTGAGCAGAGCAGAGAGGCCGCGCTGAGCGCTTCTTTCTATTCTTTTTCCCCTTTTTTTCTGCTTTTTTTTTTTACTTTCTTTTTCTTTGGAACCATTGTCAGCCTTAGGTCCTCTTTTTTTTTTTTTTTACTTTCTTTTTCTTTGGAACCATTGTCAGCCTTAGGTCCTCTTTTTTTTTTTTTTTTCCCAAAGGCCCAGCCAATTCAATTACCTAAGAAAAAAAAAAATCAATTACCTATCGATTTTTTTCTTTTTTTTCCCCCCCAAATGGCCCAACCAATTCAATTACCTGTCGAATCTTTTTTTTTTTTTTTTTTTTTTTTTATTACCTGTCGAATCTGGACAGGACGGCCTTTCAGGCCCTTTTTATTGTCATTATAGTATTACGGGGAACCCGCCGGTAGCAGCCACATCCCTGCTTAGGCCTCCAAGGAGGGAACATGATGTGAGGCCTGTCCTCTTTGCCCGTCCTCTTTGTCAATTAGGGCCTCGCTCTACTACACCACTCTATATGCATCTGGACCTCATATATGCATATGGACCTGATAGCCGTCCCTATACACTCCTGATGTTGGACTCCTCGAACGCACATGGTCCAGAAAGGCTTCCAAATGCATATAGAGTGTTGAGTAGCGGAGCGAGGCCCTCGCCTTTCGTATATATTCACCACATGACTCCACGTTATATATAGACGTTCCAACGTGAAAAAAAAAAGCAAAAACGAACAAAGAAACGAGAAGGGGTGCAAATTTAACGGATATTCCGAAGGACGTACCGGCGAATGGGATGGAGGCGATTTCGAGAAGCCAAAAATGGGCAGTTGCCGTACCCTGCTCCATGGCCCTCGCCTTTTCCTGCTCGCACGAGCAAGTTCCCAAAAGGGGCAACGGCTATAATGGGGCGCGTTATTTTATTTCTGCTTTGCAAGGGGCCATAATTGGCCGCCTGGATTGGGAAATAAATGAGGTAGTTTTTGTGACATCTGTCAGAAATACGTACCTGCAGCGTCGAGACGGCCAGGTGCGCATCATGCACCGGACGGCCTTCATGGTCCAGATACGTTCTAGTACCTTCCTGTATGTCCATTCCATATTCCAACCTCGGGAGGTAAACCACTGGGCTTAGGGTCAGATCCCACTGCCCTGGATTATTTTTTTGACCCTCGATTATGAAGATCAACGGTCAGAAATGAATAATAAGGGCTAGTGGGATCTGTATGATATACTCAGTTGACGCGATGGTCAAAGCAGGAAGTTCACTCGCTCGAAACACACAATACTATGACTATGATCACATTAGACATGACCAGACGACCAAGAGACAGGACATGACCAGACGACCAAGAGACACGACGACCAGGAGACGACAGGACAAGAACAGACCAGCCTTGCAACGAACCCGAACGTGACCGGCTGCATTAAAAATGATAATGAAACACAGCAGCTATGGTAGAACAAAATCCACCTCGGCGACCACCCTACCGCTTTCGTCTGACCGCCGCGTCAGACTCATAAGGGGTCTTTTGGAAACACTCGAGATGCGCAAAGCTTAAGTACCATTCCTACAGCTAAGAGCACCATCGAAGAAGCTATTACCACAGTCGCCCAACTTCCGTTTCCGTAGTCGACCACGTTCATTGCTAACAGTCCTAATAGTTACCAACATCCCTTCTGGAAACATTCAAGGGCCCAGTTCAACGCAGAAACTACGGGTACTACTTAGCCAGTAATACGACTCCATTTACCCACGAAGTCGCCGAGTCCCAGTATCCAGGCACTTGTCATAGAGAACAGTCGAGCACACGTCACGTAAAAACAACACCTCCACGAAAGTGCCGAACCCACTGTCCAAACCACCTATCGACAAAGCCTAAACTTCCTTATCTGGACCATTCACCCAGTGGTAACCCTTAGTGCAGCTTCTGCCAATAACTACCCCAACATCGAAAAAAAAACATAGCAATAACTACCCCAAACCTGCCGATAGCATTTCCAATCCTGAGACGCTTCCCAAATTTCCCCCAATCAGTCAAAATAGGTAGCCAGTTATCCCAAAGTCCACCGTACTTCTTAGAAAAGGACACCAGTGCAGTGTCAAAACTCTTATCCGGATACCCTCTTTTCCACAACTCGCTTTTTAAGGCGATCAGATAGGGCAGTTCCGTCCCACTCTTTGAGTCATATGCTCTTGCCCGATGCAGAAACAAGCTTACCACAGCCATTTTCTGCTGTTTGCTCGAGTAGGACACATAATCCCGCATGTTCTGAAAAATTAATCTGCCATTTAGCCCCTCCCTCTGATTTTTCATAAGTGGAATGCAGATGATCCCCTCGTTAACATCCTCAATGCTCAAAACACAACCTAAATAATCCCATGACAGTCCACTGTTCGTCTGCTCCAATATTAGTTCAGAGTCATAACACTTGGCAAATTTTTCCAACATGCTTTCACCGTTCCTCCTCGACTGCCGATCACCTTTGCTGCAGTAAACGAAGACGGAAACGTCGTCCATCAACCGGAAACCTTGAAACAACTTCTTATCACTGCCCAGACCATTCAGAAAGGTAACCTCATTGTACGCACACAATAAGCAGGCTAGGGCTGGGCTAGACGACTTGCCCATGGGAATACCAACCACCTGACGTAAACGCCGACCCGCTGCGACAATGAAAGTGTTCATCAGTTCGAAACGGACAAAGGACTGAATAACGTCAAATGACAACCCATACCAACCTTCCTCAGTTTTGCCCCTCCGTAGTTTGGCCGCTTTACCCTGCTTCCTTATCAACACACCAGTCACGCCCTCCCCTTCCCAGTAACCAACAACCCATTCAACCGCCTGCAAGATGGACTGATGAGGCAAACAAGAAAACATCTCCTCAATATTGAATGACGTACCTAACAACATCCTCCCTTTCCCCTTCCTCCCATTGATCTCAGTAATCTGTTTTAATAAACCATCGGCACTCCTCAGATTCAGATTTGACCCCTTCGGCAAGCACCATAACAAAGTGTTAATGGCTCGTGCAACCATCTTTCCACCCCGCATAGACCCTTCTGGATAGGACGGACAAATCGGTCGCCATCGCACAGTATCCTTATGCTTCGGTAAACAGTATGCTTTCCCCAGTGTGCCCCTTTTATTCCATGCGCTGACCTTCTGAAGTCCTGCTTCCTTGTACGCCACACTGCAACTCTCAACAACCTCGTCTTCATCAGCCTTACTCTGGGTAAACGCCGAATTACCAAAGAACAATTTTTTCATTCCTTCCCCATAAACCACCGAACAACACACGAAGGTATCGCCCATGTTGTGATCTAGAGGGCAACAAACCAAATTCTCCAGTAACTGCTGATACGGAAACAAATCGGATGAATTAACGCTCTTACCCACAACATTGATATCGGCAGAAAAACACGCCCTTAGTTCAGCGTCTGTATAACATAACTTGACAGTTTATTCCCCTATTCAATATGTCCTTCAACAATTAGCATGCAACATAAAATACTAGCAAAGGCATTTATCACCTTGCACCTCAGTCTAGCATTAGACGTGGAACGTAGCTTACAAGAACAGTTGATTAACCTCCAAAGATCGGTCACGCTCGGGATCAAACTTACGAAGTTGCCGAGTCACCATCGGCACCTGCTTCGCTTACCCCGTCTTCCGATACTTCATGTACTGCCGCCTGCTTACCTTTACCTTTGCAATCCTTGAATTCCCGTGTTGTACGTAACTGAGCAATCTCTTCCTTCATAACGTCCAACTTGTCGTACGTGATCCCCTCCTTTTCGCAGATACCCCGCACTTCTTCTTTCCGAAGATTCTTCAGGTCCTTCCTGACTTTCTTTAGGAACTTCTCCCTCTCCCCACCTTCCATAGTCGGACTAACCAACTTGTTAGCCCTAGTATCGGTCTTTCGCATGGAGACCCCTGCCGCCTCATCCAACTGCGGCTTCAGATTCGTCACTGGCCCTCGTTTCCTTTTCTCAAATTCCAGTTCCCTCATGCGTTCGCGCAATCTATCCATCTCGCGCTCGTCCTCTAGCTGCTTCTCCCTTACCTTCGCCAGTTCCTCTTGAGCTTACTGCCTTGCTTTAATTTCCTTCAATCTCATTTCCTGCAACAAATCAACTTCCATCCCATGTCGTTTAACGACACTACGATAGTGCTCGTCAACCACTTTCCTCGTCCCTTCCAGAGTCGAAGTCGGTACGACACGTGGTCACACCCTTGCTTGGGTGGTCGGAGACGCCCCAATCGCCAAACTCCCTCTCTTGTTACCCGGTCTTAAAGCCTCGCTTTTCCATGCTTCTGCGTCCGCCATAGCCTCCAATCTTAATCTTCTTTCTTTCTCAATCTCATCTTCCAGCGAACCAAACCACGCTTCCGATGCCATACGCATATCGGAAATTTCCTTCTGCAGCGCCTTAACTACCTCCTTGTCACTTGTTGATGTTGATGCTTCACTACCCCGCTGACTCTTCTTGAGCCTCTCGATTTCTTCTTTCAATTTACTCACTTCGTTGTCTTCTTTTTCCTTCTTCCCACCGATAGCATTACTAATCCCATCCAGCCTCGCGTTCATTTCTTTGGCAAACACCGAGTGCATCTCCTCCCGTTCACGTTTATCTTTTGCCCGTCTCTCCTCTTCCTCATTTTCCTTCTTCTTTTTAAATTCTCTCCTCCTCGTCACGAGCCGCCTTTTCACTTGCTTCATCTGCTTCATGCTTCCCCTTGATCTTGGCGATGAGTTCCTCTAGATTAGACACCCGCTGCCGAAGACCTCCTCCTCCAGAGTATCCACCATTGCAGTAAGGATACGTCGGCTGTTGTTATGGCACTGTGTTGTTCGCGTAGCTCGAATTGTGCGGAACTATAGCCATACTATTAGACACATTAGGATTGTCTAATCTCTTGTCAGGAAGTTGACAAAACCTAGCTATATGACCTAGATTACCGCAGTTATAGCAACCTGCATTTCTCGGTTGTGAGTTTCCCTGATTGCTGGCCATCTTGACAAAGGAACTCGAAGCCAGCGGACAATAGTTCAATCTCTACGACGGTTATCTCGTGAGACAAAGTATGATATACTCAGTTGACGCGATGGTCAAAGCAGGAAGTTCACTCGCTCGAAACACACAATACCATGACTATGATCACATTAGACCTGACCAGACGACCGAGAGACACGACATGACCAGACGACCAAGAGACACGACGACCAAGAGACGACAGGACAAGAACAGACCAGCTAGTGGGATCTGGCCCTTAGTGCTCATCTGTTGTAGGAGGCCACCACGAAGATAATGGTGGGCGCCTAAGGACCATGGATTGACACAATCTATGGCCCCTAGACGCCCGCCAGTCGCGTCCTGGTAGCCTTCTACAACGGAAAGGCGTAGGTGGGACCGAGGCCCTGATTGCAAAAAGGAGATCTCTGATCTGTTTAGGGAGCTGCAGGCTACTTCAGTCACCTCCAAACTCTATGGGCCTGGCTGCACCACCCTCTAAGGACATAGTCACACTAGCACTTTCCAAAATGCATTAGGCCGGAATTTTGGCCACACCTGTATGCATCTGGCCACAATTCCATCCAGAAATAAGTAAAAAAGTCCTAGTGTGGGTATGCCCTAAGTAAGGGCACCATTAGATGCATGTTTTCAAGAGGGAATCCTCCCATCAAGACTTTTTTTTTTTTTTTTTTTTTTTTGAAACACGTGCGGTGTTAGTGATGCTGATAAGAGCAGACATCACTAACACCTGGGGGGAGACTCCGCCTATTGGTGGGGAGCAGCACCTCCTGCCAGTGGAAAACGGGTCCAGCGTCCCATATACAGACTGAGTTTGATGAAAATCAGGAGAAACACAATTGGGGGTGATTCCTGCCAGCATTCATTGCCTTGGAGTCCAGGGGATTGACTGAGTAGGGTGTCCAGGGGGGGGGGGGGGGGGGGGAAACCTCTTCACCTTGTACCCAGCGCCAGATGTCTGCTGCTATACACTAGTTCCTCTTTCCCTCACCAGCTCCAATTATCCTTCACCCTACCCTTTCTAGTTAACTACCTATGTCTCTTCACCATACCATTGCGTTTCTACAAGGCAGTTGGAAGGGGGGGGGGAAGAAGTCAGGGAATTCTCCCAGGGGTTTTCGAGGGATAGCCGCATCAATTTTGGTCCATTCGTGGAATATCAGTCGGTAATCTCTTACTATCTCCATTCTCCTTTGGTCCTCCCCTGATTCCAGATGTTCCCCTTTCCATTCTACCTTGCCTATCCTCCCCTATTGGGTCCCCCAAGCCAGCTCGAGCTGAATTTCTAATTTTTAGTTGGATGTCTTTTTGCCTAGCAAGGAGTCTGATACGTGTTTTGACCCCATCCCACTTCGCAGTTATTTCTGTTTGAATCTGCAGTTGTATACTTTTCGTAAATTCGGGCCCTTCTAATGTGGCTCCCTCCATTTCAAAGGTACAGCGTCGTCTCCAGAGTGCCCAGAGTACCGCCCTTCGTCCCATTCTGAACATGTTGTCAGTGAATTCATCGAGTTGGTCTCTGACGAACCAATTCCTGTTCCGCGCGATTTTCTGCGCGACGACAATGAGGGGTCCTAAGCTGGGAAGGTTGGGCTAATTATGGGAGATAGGATCCAACGGAAAAATTGCATCGGTGTCCTTGTTCTTCTTTTTACGTCGCTTCTTTGCCCACATCCCACTACGATCAGGAAGTCGCGTCGGGCATGAGATTGGTATCGAAGCCGACACGTGGCAGGGTTATAGGATTCGTAGGACGGTAACTGAGATCGAAGCGATCTAGCTAACAGGGAATGACCTCGACCCCGGAACGCGCATCGACGCGACCCCGTCGTAACCAGAAGTCGGTCTGCGGCTCGACGGACGGTCAGCATGAACGCTAATCAACCGAATCCGAACCCACAACAGAACCCCAATCAACAACTAAATCCCAATCAGCCCGTACCACGAGCGCGGGTACCTATGGTCCCACCCGATCTTTATTTGTTCGATCCCGCTCACCACCTTGCTGGAGCATGGCTGGCCACGCTCCGAGCTCAACAGTACGATGACAACGAGGCAAAGACAAACATCCCCGCTCGATTGGGGGGTGACGCTCATCATTGGTTCAACACCTATGTGTGGATTGATTTCCCGACATTCGAGCGAGAATTTCTGAACTGATTCGACTATATCCATCCAGAACAGGCTCTGTTTATGATTAAAGATCGAGTCCAAAAACCCCTCGAGTCTGTCACCGAGTACCGAAAGCGATTTTACCGAATGTTTGTGAAAACCGAACAAGGTGAACAAGTAGGGAGAGATTTGTTCATTGATGGACTTCGCAACAGAGTGATGAGGGAGAAACTGCGGAAACAGTTCTCCCCCATCAATCACACACTGCAATAGATCATGGCGGTCGCGGAAGAGATGGAACGAAAGTTCACTGCGAGTTTCTTAGAAGGAGAAGATTATCCTAGGGAAGGAGACTCGTCCGAACTGGCAAGGGCTAAAGCTGAGCTGGCTGCACTACATAATAAGTTTGAAAACAAGGGGTTTGTGTCCGGTCCTATCACGTATCTGGAACATATTACCCCCAAACGACCAACCCCGACTGTAATCACGCGCATGCATGTTACTGTGATGACAACACCCCCACCACCGATCGAAAGTCGCGCACGATCAAATGAGTCAATTGCTATACTGGAACTGACCAAGACACTAATCAATTTAATCCAGGAAAGCAAGAAGGAACAGCGAGAGCACAACGTGAGGATAAAGGCTATGATGAGATCAATGCGACCGATAGTTGTACGTGCCGCCCCAATCCAACAAGGGTTGGCTCCAGCACCCGCTCTCGGAGGGGCCGCTGGTAATTTAAACGTCTGTTACACGTGCCATCAGTCGGGGCACATAGCCCGAGACTGCCCCCATCGACCCCCACAACCACGGATCGGGGCCGCGCCGGTAGCAGCAACTCCGATTGCTAACGGATCCGGACGAGTAGGAGCGATGATGGAAGAAATGAAAGGAGGTGGAAGTGCGTTAGCTACTACGTAAGAAGCCGCCGAACTCATCCCGTTAGATCAATACGTAGCACTTGGTTATTCGGGATTGGGCATGATCGGAACGATTAGACCCGCACCCAAACATAGGGAAGTGGCGGAGTGGAGACCTTCTCCAAGAGAAATGGAGTCGGGAGGACCTACCTTCGTCACCGGGGAAATCGACGTCTTGAACATTGTGAGGGCACTAGATCATCGGATTCCTCTTCTGATCGGTCACCTACTATCGATATCAGAACAGGCGAACGAACGCATGTTGCAACATTGTAAGGTTAATCGGAAGCGGTTCGCCCTTGGTCGCACAACATACACGAAAGCAAAAAGCCCAATACTGGACGAACACGCTACTGGAGCTTCAAAACCAATACGTTTAGGACTAATCCAGAAAGATGATCACTTCTTGCGAATTAAAACGATCCCTTGGAAATCCGCAGAATGTGACATCGAAGTATGGGGAGTCCCATATAATGCACTAGCGGTTAATGGAAGGCTAAAAATTTGGGGTTTTTCGCCGCGTCGCTACAAGCAATGTTGTCGAAACTTTTACGAACAAACTATGCAGGGTCATAATACAAACATAAAAAAACCAATCAGGCAAAAAAAAAACGAAAAAATCAAAATCAAGAGTACTATAAAACCCTTTTCGGAGTAGCTTTCGGAGTTCGCCAAAGTTGTTTTTGAGTCTGTTGTTTTTGCTAAGTTTTTTGTTACTGCTCCAAATATGGCGAAACTGAATACAGATATACCCTAAAGCATATATATAACAGGCAAAAAGAAAAACCAAGAAAAAAGTAATAATTCAGGAAAATATGGCAGTTTCGGTGAAAAATTCGCCAAAATTCGTCGAATTTTTGGCCTTCCATTAACCGTTTTTCGTATAATGCCATTATCGATTTCGAAGCAACTGTTTTAGCTATCTCACTACGGGTAGTCGAAAGAGCAGGAAGAAAAAAAGATTTGATTATGCTTACGAAAAAAGATCAGCTCGTTTTAGCAGATGAGGAAAATATCAAAACAGTGGGGCGGATGACTAATGGTGTTTTTCGATTGGGAAAGGTGTATGCCCTGG